GAATGCACCATATCAGCCTTATCACTTGCACTGATCTTCTGTCAGACATGAGATCACCTAGAAATCCTGCAGACCTTCCTTCTCTTTGGGCAAGCATCACCTCAGCCACTCAACGATTGTCCCTAACACCCAGCCAGAGGTAGGCACGCCCTTGTCTGCTTCCTAGACTTGGGCACTATTAACTTTGAGGAGACTTTGGGCTTATTTCTAGAAGTTAAAGAGAAGAAAAACGGAAGGAAATGGAGCCCTTGAGTCTCAGAACTGAACCAGGAAACCCAGAGCCCTGTATCCTCTCTGCCCTTGACTGCTTCCATGATGTGTGGTAAGCATCTTAGCTTCTCCCATCTATAAACTATGGACATCATTGCCTGCCTCACATGAACTGTACCTTGTCTGCCAAGTGCTGTTCTGGGTTCTTGTTTTAATATTTAGTAGTGGTAATGCAAAGCAACAAGGACTGGGCCCTTGTCTCTTGCACTGATCCCAACATTCGTTTATTAGGGAAACTGTTAGGAACTGAAACCACTCTGGTGTCTGCCTCAGGGCTTCATTTGGCTTGCCCACACACAGAAGGCAACCGAGAATAATAGCCTAGAGAGAGACAAGGTCTTAGGGAAATGGGTGAGCAGCAAATTGGGAAAAGGGCCCAGGAACACGTGAAAATAAACTCATCTACTCCTTCCTGGCCTCTGCATGCTGAACACAAGCACCCTGGGTCAAATCCAGCATGGCGCTCTGCAGACAGGACATTGCTGCAATATTCTCCACGCAAAAAGCTGCTGTTAAGCTCCACTTGATCTCAGTTCCTCCTGCCTAGCAACACTATCTGCAAAAAAGTACAGTCTGCCTTCGCTCCATATGCTCAATGACAGGACAGCACATCATACATACTCCCACTAGTGCCTCCTGATACCACTTAGGGCTGTGAGCCAGCATCCTGAACAGAGACACCCGAGCTTCCCTGAGCCACATCCATCCCCTCCGGTCAGTCCTCTCAGTACAGCAGGGCTGATGTTGCCTAGAGATGCGAGTTTCCATTTTTGTGTCCATCTGTCTGTCCCCACTTGCTGAGCTGCCAGGGCAGAGTGCGTATTTGAATGCCACTTGGTATCAAAGTGCACCATTACAAATGCAACATAGTAGTATTACCTGTGGCCAAAGGTGAGCGCTTCCAAGCTGGTCACTTTGTACGTGCTCTGCTTCATCAGGCTTTCTGCACACTGCTACACACTGGTCTTCCAAACTACAGCCATGCCAGACCAGAGTCTAGGTGAATATAATAAATAAATGACAGTTGTGCAGACCTTCCCTCATGTGCTGGGTGTTTGTGTCCTGTGCTTAAGCATGCTTTCCCCTTGCAGCAGAGGTAACAGGTCCTATCCAAAAAACAGGAGTCACATCTTGTATGGTACCATGAGCCTTTTGGAAAGAGGTACATGCTCTGCTCCCTCCCAGCAGCCTGAACTTGTCAGAAGCATTTGATGGGAGTGGGTTTGCAAATCAGCAGCAGGCAGATGTGCACTTTAAATGTAGTGGGAACTCATGCAAGGCATGGAAGGGGTCCAGGAAGGCTCCTATGCAGTCCAGCCCTGACAGACACCCTCCAGGTCATCTGTGACTGTAGCTCACTGTAGACTCGTTGTAGCCTTGGTTCTGACCCCAGAGAAACCAGAACCAGTTCAGAAATTTAGCTCGCTCTTCTTCTTTCCATTACCTCAGCACACACTGTCACACAGTGCAGCTTTATTCACCCCTACCTTTAATGCAGCTAACCTAGTTGCTAGTTAACATTCACCTCACTGCCAGAGTCCTGCCCCACAGAAGAGATGAGGCCCCAGTCTCTCCCTAAAGAATCAGTACAGCAAGCAGATCAATACACCAGGCCTTGATACAATCATTAACCTGAACCTTTCCTAAGCCACCATCTCAGTCAGGATAAACCCCCAGGACTAAGCTTTCAGATACTGCTTCTATTATAAATATGGACCACGGCCATGGTCCTGCCCTTCCCTTAGGATTATCTAGGCTGAACTACTGAACACATCACCGCTTCCCCAGCATCTCTGTTAGAACTAAGGCAGCTGCCAGGGGGCTGTGTCCCCTAACACACACCCACACCCTCATGCCAGCAAGCCTGATGTTCAGGCTGGCTGGCAGCAGGCATCCTGCAGAGCTGTCCTGACCTCCCCCCATCTCTAAGGGGTGCTTTCCAGGACACTCAATGCCTTGCAGCTAAGAATAGGTGCTACCTCTTCTCCAAAGAGCATCTGCAAAAGTTGCCACTGATCTCAAGGGAATGATTACTGCTTGCATTCAGCCAGGTTCCTGCTAGAGTCCTAGTGAAAGTGAGGAAAATGGGTATCCAGCTCCTTTCAGAACTCAAAAAAAAAAAAAAAATCTTGCTTGCTTCACCCATGCTAGATATTTTGCTCCCAATGCCTCTTGTATTTTGAGCCAACACCGGAAGTTGGAACACTGAAATCTGCACCATACACACACATCCCATTCCAAGACAATGCCAACTCACCCCTTTGAGACAGAACAAATGCAGGGGTTAATGGGTTCTCACCTGTTACATATAGACTTCACCGAAACTGAGACCTACGCTATTTCATAGGATTACAGAAGGTCAGTGCAACTGCGATGGAAGGGTTTACATGTATTAACGCTTTCAGCCACTGAAAGGCTCTATCTCGTGCAGCTTCAGTGACCAAAGAGGGTTCTTTCTGCTTTCTACGGTGACAACATCAGCAAGTGCCTATGTGACACTACGCCGTAGTTTGTGGGAAGAACGATGACCAACCCAGACATGTACGTGCTGAGAAAGAAGTCTGTGCCCAATTTATAATAGATATTCTCAGCCAGACTCAGTGTTTAGAAATTTGCATACTAAATACCAAACCTATTGTTGCTGGAGCACATGGGCTGAAAACACAAAAGGGTCTTAGCCCCGAAGGTAACAACAAGGGCTGTAGAATGGGCTTACCTTTCCTTCGGACATCAAACCCACAATGCATCACAGCCATCCCACAACCATGCTTTACTTAGCAGTGAGCTACCCAGACACAAACACACACACACACACACAAAGAGGGAGTTTAAGACGACAGAACCACTTGCATTTGGCCAAGACACTGACATGAATACACCTCTCGCCCCAGCATGAAGGGCTCTAATGCCCAGAGACACCAAGAGAGGATCCCTAGACACAGCACACTGCACAGCCCTCTCCTGCTCTCAGCAGCTGGTGTTCCTCTCGCAAGTGGCACCTGACATCCCAGGCAGCCAATCGCATCTCAGTGGCTGCAGTCATGTGAGGTCCCCACTGTGATTTTCTTTTCTACAAAGCCCACCACCACAGCCAGTCCTGGCTATAAATACCATTATACTTAAAAGGGTTTTTTCCATAATAGCTTCTACAGTCAGTCTCTTGCAGGGGAACAGAACAGAGCAAGATGGGGCCCTGGCAAGGAAGCACTAACATACATCTCTTGTCAGGTCTAATTGAATTTTCTATATGAAGCATCTATTATGACCCACCTGGGGGGTTTGTGGACAGATGGAGGAGTTTGCTCCTCCAGCAGGCATTCAAGACTGTTGGGGATGGTGGGAGGGAGGGGAGGCGTGGTTTGAAATGGATCTGGCAGTTCCCTCTTGCTTGCAGCCCAGCTGTTCCAGACAGTTATAAAAGGAAGAATAGTCCAGGAGATTAATTCCCATTAAATCAAACAGCTTGCAGGGGCTGCAACCCTGAATAGCACAACCTGAAAGCCTGGATAGCAGGGCATCAGCCACATCCGCAGCGGAGGCTTCCAGCCTAAAGCTGCAGCAGAGATGAGTGTGGTCCCAAAGCCAGACGGAAAGCTTGTGGATCACCCCTGCATTTGGGCCCAGAAGCCTACCAGGAGAGGAGATCCAAGGAACTAGCAAACATCCCCCAAGCTTACACCTCCCTTTGCAATCCGGACACAGCTATTCCCACATCATACAGGCACCTTAGGGAACAGCGAAGTCCATGCGTGAGTGCACAGCCACGGGACTGAGCTGACCTGGTGCCTACTTTTCCTTCCAGCTGGTTTCTCCTGCTGTCTTTTGGACAGCAGCTGCCTTGTCCTTCTCATTTTCCCTAGCTGTTAAAAAGCTAGACAGGGGAGCCCTGTCTCAAGTCTCGAAGAAGCTGGAAAGTACAACAAAGAAGCTGGAAAGTACAACTTCCGCCCAAGACAGCTGAATGGAAGAGCTGAACTCCAGCCTGCATCTCCAGCAAAAGTGCCCATGCAGCTGCACAGGGACCACAGCAGTGTGGAGAAGGTGCAGTCAAGATCGCTGTGTCAGGCAGAGATGTCAGGGGAACAGAACACCAGACAACCAAACAAGCCCACCAACATGCTTCCGGGCTTAGGGTCAGCTTCCCTCATTTTTTTGGGAAAAGTACTTTACATGTCTCATGCAAAAAGAGGACTGTAGCAGAGGTGCACAGCTATCTTTACTTTCTCCTCCCAGCAGCTTTGGACACCAGCTAGCTGACGGGGTCAAAGGGGTAATACTCTGAAGGCAGCCCTATCTGCAGTCCATGCAGGGTCAGAACCAGAAGCCTCTCAAGGCCATCAGCTCTAGTCTCTCCCAAAAGAGGGGACACTCATCCCCACCCTTCCAAGACCTCTGGGCTCCCTCTGCCCGCTCCAGGGGCTGGGGGTCCACCCGGCACCTCACTCTGCAGCACAGCAGGTGCTCAGAGCCACAGTGACAGCAGAGGGCACTCCAGCTGCAGGCAGCAAGCCTGGAGAGCCACACTGGCATCGGGCCTTTCTCCCTCCTGCTTTAGGAGTTCATGCTGAGAAATACCTGGAATAATTGCAAGCGTTCCACATTAAATGCCATACTGGGGGCTGGTTTCTGATCACTAGACCTTGTCTCCTATGGCTGCAGCTTAGGCTCAAGCTGGTATTTTCTCTTCTTGCC